AACTTATTCAATCTGTTTACTAATGCTTTTTTCTTTTTATAATAAGTAATTTTAAAAATAGAATCAAAAAAAATAATTACACGTGGATTTGCTATTTTTAATATAAATATATGCCAAATACATTAAATATAAAACATAATATAAATTTAAAAATAGAATAATTTTATATTAAAAAAAATAATATTAATAAAATAAGCATTTAAAATTTATGATATTTTTAATATAAAATACAAAATGTAACATATAATATATTAGTCATATGTGACAATCAAATCAGTTACATTTCATATAAATTGGTAAACTAAATGGGCCGGGTCAAGTTTTAAAATAAATCCAGCCCAACTTATTCTCCAAACTTTCTATTGGGTCTGAGCCTAGATTGGACCTAAAAATATTCTTTGAGCTTGAGTTTGGATTTAGGTAAGCCTGGTTTAATCTGATCCATTCTGTATTCTATATGGAACTTCTAACTCTTGGCAAAACGTAAGTAAGATTAGAAAAAAATAATAAATAAAAAAAAGAAAGTAAAACAAACTGTAACCTTTCGAAATAAAAGAAAATCCAAAAAAGATAACAATAATGATGATAACGATTATAGTAATGATAATAATAATAATGATAATGAAAATGATAATAATTTATAAATAATATAAAATAATTAATAAAAAAAAATAATTAATAATGTAAATAAAAACGAATATAACATAAATAAATATAAATTTGCAAAACTAAATAAACAAAAAAATTATTACCATATTTTTTATCCAATGATTTTTTTAGAACTAAATAGATCTTTATCTATCTAAAAATTTGTTAAAGATCATAACTTCAAAGAATTAAAAATAGAATTTTAGTATCATTTCTCATTAAATATTCTACAAATTTTTCAAATAATTTTCAAATATATCTGAATATTTGAGAATCGAAAAAATCCAATATATAAATATATTCACATAAATTTATAAATTTATTCAAATTTTTTTTAAACCAAAAAATATCTGGATATATTTTCTTCCAAAAATTTCCTAATAAGTAAATATATCCAAATATATTTGAGAATTGAAAAAATCTGAATATATTTAAATCAAAAAATATCCAGATATATTTGTTCCGAATATTTGAGAATCGAAAAAATCCAAATATATGTAAATATATTTGCATAAATTTATGAATTTATTTGGATTTTTTTCTAAACTGAAAAATATCTGGATATACAGTATTTGCTCCCAAAAATTTTCTGATGTTGTAAAGTATACAAACAACTATATTTTTAATAATTAAAATAACATATATATTTATTAATACCCTTTGGAACTAGTTATTCCTATTAAGATTAAATTCTATTGGTTAAGGTAAATAGATATTTATCCTGAACTTAAGTAGTAACAAAAAACATTCAGATTGTATTTAGAGATTTGGTCTTTGATGAGTAAATGAGACATATTAACTTAGTGTTATGGAAATGATAAATACTAATATTTGGTTTAATGTAATCTTTTAATTTATTAATTACTAATAAATATACTTGCATGATCAAGGGTTAAAGTTAAAAAAAAAAATATTCATCACTACCCTTGCTAACAAACAATTCTTATTTAATTATTTGTTGTCTTTTTAAAATAAAATATATCAAAAAACAATATTAATATTTTTTCATTTAATCATAAAATTAAGATAATACAATCCCTTTATTAAACTGCTAACTTAACTTTTGTAACCCTTGACTTTAGAAATCTAATATAAAAAAAAATTTCACATGCACTAGAGTTTCGAAAAATCCAATTTTAACATCTATCTCACTATCAACATATAGTAACATGTATTAGGTCTAAAATGAATGCATTCTCATTTACAACATTCACGAACCACCAACCAAATTAGATTAACAAAAAACCCTAAATATCTTCTGATTAAGTTTGTGATCGATCAATTTTTTACCAAGAATTATGAATTTTTTATTAATTTAGATTAATTATTCCATTATTTATTGCTTACTAATTTCATGAAAGTATTAAAAGTAATGGCATTATATCTCATAATTTGCCCGTGTGATCTGTTCTTTTTTAGTGTAATTGGTTTATAGAAAAAAGGAATGTTATTATTTACTATAATTGGGCTGGAATTCAAAAAAATTTGACGTTTTCTTCTTTTTATTTTCTTTGGATAAATAAGATTATGTGAACGTTAAAAAAAATTCACAGACTATCGTTTAATTGTTCTAAAGAATTTTTTATCATATTTTTCACATGGTTATCTTGAAAAATCCATAATCATAAGCCGTGTTAACAAAAACTTATAGAGTAATCTAATCTTTTATTTCTCAAAATAATGATGCAATAATAAGAAAAGCACGAGATAAAGCATATGTTAAAATAACAAAAGTGTTAAAATGATGTCCACCTCGGATTTCAATTGAAAGTGCCGTTATTTGAGTTCAATTGTTGCATTATGCAACTTTATTACTCATGCTTATTTATTGTGAATTTAATGAAATGTTTTATTATTCAAATAATGTTTATTGAAATTTGCGCATGTTTTTTTGTACATAAAAAAATATTTTATTGTTGATTAAAAAATCTTTAAATTCTCACGAATAGTAATTTTAAGAAAACTTTTGTTCTAATACCATTTTGAACTAGTAAGACGTGATTTCCAAATAACATTGTTAATTAAATACGTTTATCAATCAAATGCTTGTCAAAAATGTCAAAAAGTAAAAAGTTATATTAAAGTTTTGATATTTATAGATTTACCAAGAGCATATATGAGATTCTAGGTCAATTAAATGGCTCAATGAAAAAACTCTTAAACATAAATCTGCATGCATCAAAAAGAAAAACGATAAGTACTAAACAAATATTTAGCATTGGTGAAAAAAAATACTTTGTTTTCTATTTAAATTGTCACATAATAATAGAATATTAACTCTTCTTGTCAAAAGTTACGTTCAATGCAGGGTGCGCTATTCTTAAACATTGATGTAGGAGAAAGAATGATTATTGAGCACGATACTTTTGTTTTTCATTTTATTGTGAGTAAAATTGAAAAACTCTTGTTTATGTATTTTATTTTCTCTGCAAGGATAAAGTTGCTGTAAATTTTTATTACCAGATTTTATACATTTCAAATTTTTTAAGTACTGTATTTCGTTATATTTCGTTAAAGGAATAAAATGTACATCCGTTTTTTTCTTTTCTTGTTTATTATTATAAATAATTATTCATTATTTCATCATCTTACCGATTATTAAGAAAATAAAGTTTCGCCTTAATGAATACATCGATACATTACCTCCAAGAGTCAGATTGAAAATTTTTATTTTTTAATCTTTTTGGTAAAGCTTGGATTGAATAATATTTTTACATACGCAGTATTATTTTATTTACAGTAACCCTTTTATGACAGTTCTATATTTAAAAAGAATTTTTTGTTGTCAAAAGTGATGGTCTGAATCTAGATTGATCACTTTTCACTTTATTTTCTTTATCACGAACGATTGAGTTCCCGTAACAGATGCAGAATGATTTTTAAAAGAACCAATCAAACATTTACTTTGATCAAGAAATGAATTCAAGAGGTTTCCCTACCATCTTCAGGGATGAATCGCTTTTTTTTTTTTTTGACAGGAATCATATCAATTTATTCCGATTTATCAAAAAATGAGATAAAATATTCTATATAATTAAAATTAGAAAATGTGGTGACTTTGATTGGTATCTGTCAATAGAGTCAATAGACAGGGGTTTGAACTTCATAAATTACGTGAATGATTTATAATTTAAAATAAGTGATAGGTTCAATTCGATATTTTCCGAAGTAACAAATAAGAGTAGATTTTCAAGTCTGCAACAATAACATTTGTTATCGGTAATTAGTTTCTCCGTCTTAATCGACCGTTTTATCTCATATATTTTATTAGAAATTATCTCAGAGAGAAAATTGTATCTTTGTTTTATCCAATTAATAAAAATTAAAAAAATAAAAAATAAATCATTATTAACTGATTTACTGATTTAAAGCATAAACAATAATAGAGAGATTTTATTCGTTCTTATTATTTCTGTTGTTGATGAAGTAATGATCATTGTAGTATTTTTTTTTTTTACTTTGGGAAAATTTATTACCTCTATTTATTTATCTATTTATCTATTTATCTATTTATCTATTTACCAACGAATGATAATTATAATTTTTGGATTAAGTCAAATAGTCAAATTATTACTGTAAAAATAAATAAATTGTTTTAATTTTTTTTAAAAAAAGTAATAGATATAACTATTTGTTCGTTAATAGATTTGAAAAATAGAATAGAATTCTGGAAATTACATATCAAAAAATAATAAATACAAAGAAAGTTGTTTTCTCGACTATTAAAAATAGTAGGTCCATTAGATATATCTTTAGAATAAGAAGTGCATACATACAAAATATATGATAAATGACTGTAACTGTTAAGGAAACAATGAGACGTTTTAATACTTATGGATTAAGAAATTTTTGAAAACATGTAGAAAATCAAAAATTTTTGTGGGTTATAATCAATTAAAGAAATTTTTTTATATACCTTGTTGTACACGTAAGAATTTTGGAATTGTGGAATTGTAGCAAGGGATTTTTTTAATCAAAAGCTTGATTATTGCATACATAAATAAAGTTACAGAGAGAAAAAAAAAGAATATTTGTGATAGGTGATAATGTGATATTGTGGTAGGTGATAAAGATAAATTATTCTAATCTAATTATTTATAAAGAAATTCTTTGACGATAAACGTATAAATATCCACCATATTCTCGTTCCTTAATTTTTAGTTCATAATTTTCTACATCTGATCAAAACGTAAACCTTTATCAAAAAATAAATCTAATTTTAACGTAATTAACAAAAGGATTTTTTGAAATATCTACTACTATTATTATTATTATTATTATTGTCATTATTATTATTATTATTATTATTATTTTTTTTTTTTTTATTTTATTTCAATCATTCTAATATTATAATGGATGAAGAAGCGAAGAAGAAACATTGTCACTTTTTAATGTTTGAAGTTGGACAGAACGCGATCTCATCCGGTAACAAATTAAATAATAACGATGAAATGGATGATGAAAGAATTGTTCCAAAGAAAGAACAATCGCCTTTTACATATCACCCTTATGATAATAGTTCCACGTTTAAAAATATCGCTGAACCTTTTAATCATCAACAAGGTATGAATGATCAAGGTGCAATTGAACCAACGGCTCTTGTTCTACCAAAATCTCCTTCTTCCACGTCTAGTCTTTTCTCGACTTCTACTCTTTCGGGAAAATCTATCTCAAAAGCTTCCAACAAAAATCCAGCCCCAACGAAAACTCGTAAACCTAGAGCACGAAAACCTAAAAGAACTCCTCGTCCCCCTAATGCGTTTATCCTTTATAGGAAAGATAAACAACCTCATGTTGTCGGTAAAGATAAAAATTTGACTAATGCCGAAGTTTCTAAAGTAATTTCAAAGATGTGGTGGTTAGAAACTGAAGAAGAAAGATTTCGGTGGGAAAAACATGCTGATAGGATGAAGTTAAAGCATATGCAAGAACACCCTAATTATGTCTATCAACCAAAGAAGCCGGGAATAAAAAAATCAAGAAAATCATTAAAAGGACGAGAAAATACCATGTCTCGTAATTCAACTTCTACATTTTCCGCAATCCCCAATACCGATAAAAACTTATATTTGAGAGATGAAGCTACAATCACCGCAATTGCAGAATCCGCTTTCGCTGAAAGTAGATCACAAATGAATTTATCATCTACATCATTCACAATATCTACAACAACTACATCTTCTAAATTGTCATCTCCACCACATTCAGCAAATGGATCACCAACATATTCTTCTGGTCTTATGAATCAAAACATTAATAATAATTTACGCATTCAACAAAATCCTGCACACATAATGTATACACACCTACCGCCAACTCCAACAGAGATGGTTCATTATGAAATTCCTTCGCAATACTTATTATCAACAAACGAAAATTTTATTAATCCAATGTTATCTTCTACAAAGTCAACTCCACCCAACAATAACAATAACAACAGTAACAATAATAATAATTTTGTACAAATGTCAAATTTTGGTACTATTGAATCCAACGGAAGAACTTACTTTCCTGCGACATCAAATTTTATGTCACCTCATGCCTTAAATAATAATAATGATGGTATAGAAACATATTTAGATCCTCAACCTGTTGATAAATTTCATTATTTTATAGGCCATGAAACAAATCCAACTTATGCAACACTTCAAACTTTTAATGGAGGAAATGGAGGGATAAATGAACACAATGAACACAACACTTTGTTTGAACTTTTTAGCAGTAGTAATACAGTGACCGCAAATTCAACCCCAGATAACGATAATTATTTTGATGAACCTTGTTCACCTCAGAATCATTTTCAATCAGTCCTCTTTTCGAGGCGAAACAGTTATAGTAGTTTGTGTTCAACTGTTGTTTAAAATATTAAATCTATGATTTACTTGTCTTCATTTTGTTCATTTTGTATGTTAGGAAGTGAGTTTTTATTTTTTTTTAATCTGTTCTATTTTCTATTTTTTTTTTTATAAGAACAATAAGTTTTTTTTTTGTTCGCTTATCTCTTATGAAATGTTTGCAATTACTTAAAATTTTTTTACACTTTGAGAATAAATTTCTTTTTTATTATTTTCATTTCTTCTTTTTTTTTGTGTGTGTATGTATATATATTCTTTATTTTTTCATTGTTTTAAAAATTCATATTTCTCATCATCTAAGCTTTATATAAATCATATTTTAGCCATTTTCAAACAAACATGTTATAACCCAACAGCAAATTTAAAACATTTTTTCTGGCGACGAATTTTTTATTTCATTCATTTCATTCGAGTAATTTTAACTAGTATAGATAAAAGCAAAAAAAAATAAAAAGTAAAAAATATGAAATTTACCATTTTTTTTAAGATACTTCATCATCAAGTAAATTTTTGTAGGAAATTTATTTCTTTCGCCTTTGATTGATCGTCAATTAACGGATCATTAATTCCTTTTTTTTAATATTTTTTTTTCATTTATATTATCAATTAAATAGTCAAACATATTTCACATAATTATCATTTTGTTTGATTTTCGTGATTTTTTTTTTTTTTGAAATCTTTATAATACTTCTTAACGCATAACTAAACAATCTAAAAACACTCAATAAATAGATAAAAAAACTTGAAGTGTGATATAAAATATGTATATGATTTCTGGAAACTTTCGTGACGCATAGAAATTCCAATTATGTAAGGGATATAAAGTGAGCACGTATAGTCAATTTGTGATAGTTAAATAAAGTCAAAAGTTAAATATTTAAAATACGGCTAAATATAGTTAAATATAGTTAGATATAAAGTTGATCTTGGACAATAAGATAAAATAAACAAAAATTTTAATAACACGCGAGAAAAACAAAAATATTAAGGTTTTAAAGATTTACTTTTTTTAAAAGAAATTTGGATCTTTGTATCTTTGTTGTCGTTGAGAGGCTTTCGAAAGGGGGAAATCAGATAAGGGGAAGAAAAATTAATTGGATAATAGCAATTTCATTTTTTAAAAACAATAAATAAATAAAATTCCCACCCCTTAAGTTAATTCTCTTTATTTTAATGCACGTCAAAAATGGCAAAGAAATTAAAATAAATTAATGATTAGTTAATAAAAAAAATTTATTAAGAATAATTCTTATAACTTGATTGAAACTTTGTTAAATCGAGATTTAATCTATCTGTTTTTACAATTTGAACAAACAAAATCTTTCGATATTTTTAATCACAAATTCTAATTATTGCTAAATTTTATTTTTTTTGGGGGGAATTGTAAAAGTATTGTTTGTTTAAAATATAATAATAATAATTTTTAAATGATTGAACAAATTGTATAATTGACATAAAAAATTAATTTATATTATTTATATTATTTTATGTCATAAAGAAAGGAAAGTAATTACTTGAATTGTTTGGTAAAATAATACAATTTTTTTTTTGAATAATTGTTAATGGCGTATTTCTAAACTAATAAACTATTTTCTGGTGAATAATTTTTGCAATAAGATCTTATCTTTTTTTTTTTTAGCTAAATTAAAACCAAATTTGGTTTTTTCTTTACTCTTTGAGATTCAATTGAGGAAATTTTTTCTGCAGGAAATTATATTCAGCAAAAGTAATATTGTTCTTGGAATTTATATAAACATGAAATCAGAAATTATTTATATCCACTATTTATCAAAAAAAAGGAATAAAGAAACAATTAATATTAAATACAATTGATAAATGAATAATAAATATTATTCATCATTTATTTAAATTTATTCAAAGTCACGTTTCAAAAATATTTAAAATTTATTGTATTCATGCAATACTTTGAAAACCTTAGTCTTATTCATTTTTTTTTTTTGCTTTTCATTGATGTTATTTTATCATTTTACATTTAATTTCCACTCTTTGAATACAATATATACTTTATGTCATGTTTTTTCTTATCAAATATAACACATTCACAAATTTCAACAATAACAACAAAGAGAAAAAAAGAGAGATCATGAATACGGTAATCATAAAAATATCTCGTACAATTATTATTGTTTATCTTGCTAGAAATAGAAAAAATCCGCAACAAAGAATTTCGGGATTTTCTTTGTTCGACAAACTAAAAGGTTAAGATTAACTAAAATTAAATTTTATTAGATACAAATTCTTTTAATAAATACAAAGTTCAAACCATAAAAATAATAATAGTAATAACAATATTAATAATAATAAATAATAAATAAATAATATTAATATTAATATTAATTAAATCACTGATCGCAAATCACAAAGTCAAGCTCTATTATAAGTTTTACCCTGACTTTATTCTTTTATATGTAAAATATGTCCGTTTTACGTAAATTATATAATCTCAAGTATTGCTTTATTACTTCGTAAACATATATTAAATAATTTATCTAAAAACAAAATAAGAAAATCAAGAAAAAAAAATAATAATAAATAACAATAATAAATAATAATAATAATAAATAAATAAATAAATATAATAATAAAGAACAATAGTAATAAATGAGAATAATAATAATTATAAGTTATAAAAAATGTAAAAAGGATATTTATCGAAATTTAATTTAGATGTTTTATTTTTGAATTTTCGGTTGTTCAAAATGCACACAGGAGTAAATAATTATTTTATACTGTACCCATGTTATTATAATAATGTAAGATAGAAAAACAACAACTTTACGTGAAACGACATTCAGCCCAATTTTAGGTTAACTTTATTTTCATATCTCATGGATAACATTGATATCACGTACCCATATATCACATAATTTATACTAAAAAGTAAAATTTTGTATTATGTACAAAATTGGTAAGGATTGTTAGGTCAAAATAATCTTCTTTCCAATCTTCTCTCGTATTACAATAAATAAGGTTTGAGTTTATTCCGAGCAAAACATTGGAGAACTAAATTCCGATAATAAAGTCAGACTATCTCTTAAGTGGTAAGCAATTCCGGCAAATTTGTCTGAAATTTTTTTACGTAGATATGTTTGTGCAACCAATTTTTATCACAAATGCTAATCAATAATAACATATGATTAAGATTATTTCAAATATGGTTTTTTCTCAATTAGTCTACAAATACTTTTGTAAATAGATTTTTTTTCAATATATAAACATAAATTTTTTGTATATTTCTAAAACTTTGAGACATAATTTAGCATTTATATTATTAAAATAACTTGTTCAACAAGTATGGGAATGCTTAAATTATACAGTACAAGATATCATAAATCAGCAAATAAAAATTTGGATAACCAAATTTCAAAATACTTAAAGTCATATGATTTATTATTAAAATCAGGTGATTTTATATTAAACTCAGATAATTTATTATTAAAATCAGATAATTTAATATTAAAATCAGGAAATATTATATTAAAATCAAATGATTTATTATAAAATCAGATGGAGAACACTTAACCTGTATACCTTATACAGGTTTTTATCCTGTCAAGAGGAGGTACAATTTCTTATTCTGTCACTAGTCAAAGTCACATACAAAATAATCACTGTATCAAATAGTGATTTCTATATTATAAATCAACTAAAAATTAGTAAAAATCAACTGTTCTATTGTATCTTATATTATAAATTAACTAAAATCAGATTTTATTTTCTGCAGGTCAAATGCAAAAGAATTGCTGTACCAAAAAAGAATTCTGATTTTAGCTAGGATGATCAATTTTTACTAATTTTTAATTAATCTATAATATATGAATTACCATTTAGTACAGTGATTCTTTTGTATTTGACTAGTGTTTAGTATAGTAATTCTTTTGTATTTGACCTGTATATACACTTTCTTAAATTTTTATAATCTAGAATTTTACAGGTGATTAGAATTTTCTTATGTGTTAATTTCATGTAACAAATAATATTTGGTAACAAATATAATTTCTGCTGTTACATACATTTTTTTCAATGTTTACTTAACAGTTTCTTTAAGGAATTTACATAGGTCAAATACAAAAAATTGTTATATCAAAAAGTAATTCTGATTTTAGTTGATTTATAATATAGGATACAATAGAATAGTTAATTATTACTAATTTTTAACTAATCTGTAATATAGAAATTACTATTTAATACAGTGATTCTTTTGTATTTGGCTAGTGTTATAGTTCTTCCTCATAGATACAAGACTTCCTTTGCTGAAATTATCATTTTTCAGATATACATATCAATATAATATCATAGTGACATCAACTTGATATTATAAAATATAGTTATAATATTATAAAGATATTGTAACAATGTTATTAAATGTTATCATGATACCACTGCAATATAAATACAATTTTTCTTAAAATTTATTCTATTTCAAATAATCATGTGATATAGAATTGACATTAATATCATATAGAAAATATATTGTATCAATATTTTTAAATTTATCTTATTTCAATAATCATTGTGATATATAATTGATATTAGTTTATATAAAGAATATATTGTACTGACATATTTATATATTTTAAATTTTATCTTATTTCAATAATTGTTACAATATAGAATCAATATTAGTATTGTATAAAGAATATATCATGCTGATATATTTTTGATATTTTAAAATTTACCCTATTTCAAATAATCATTACAATATAGAATTGATATTATACATGCTTCCAAAATTGATTTTTGATTTTGGAATATTTCATCTTTTTGAGGTTTTTACAGAATTTATTTTATATATGGAAATAAAAAAATATCTAGTTAAGTGTATCTTTAATCAAAGAATTTATTTGGGTAGTCAAAAAATTTTAGATTTTAAGTAAAATAATTTTGTCTTCTATGAAAAACTATTTCAACTTTTTTTTTCAAAATTGCAATTTTGGAGCTCCAAAATAATTTTGTGTGTAAGTATAATCAATATTAGTATCATATAAAGAATATATCATATCAATATTTTTAAATTCATCCTATTTCAATAATTGTTGTAATTTAGAATTGATATTAGTATTATATAAAGAATATATTATGCCAATATATTTTTGATATTTTAAAATTTACTCTATTTTAAATAATTGTTGTGATATAGAATCAACATTAGTATCATATAGAAAATATATCATATCAATATTTTAAAATTTGTCTGATTTCAATAATTGTTGTGATTATACTTGCATGCAAAATTATTTTAAGGTCCTGAAATTGCAATTTTGAAGAAAAAAATCAAAATAATTTTTATAAAAAACAAAATTATTTTACTTAAAATCCAAAAATTTTTGACAGATTTTTTGATTAAAGATATACTTAACAAGATATTTTTTTTTACTTCTATATATAAAATAGATTCTATGTAAATCTCAAAAAAATGAAATACCTCAAAAATCAAAAATCAATTTTGGGAATATGTATAGTTGTAATATAAAATTGACATTAGTATCAGTGGTATGATTATAGTCTAATTAGACTATAATCATACCACTTAGTGTGGACTATAACCATCACGATTTCAAGTGTAAGTCACTTCCCGACATAAGTTATGACGAGCCGTATGCAACCCCTCTACAATATGTTTTAATTCCTTTACGAACCCAAATTCGCTAATGAAATTCATATAGTATAACTTGCAAATATGTTGTGCATTCACAAATTTGGTCACATGAGAGGTCAAGATATATAATAACAATTAAGTATAATTTATTTTATAGAGTTGGCTACATGCAAGAATATAGTGTTGAACATTGCCGATTTCATATCAAAAAAAAGTAATGTGTGCAAAGTAATAAGATAAAATGTCCTTTTCTTAATATAATACGGCCAAAATTAAATTTTATAAATTAGCATTATATAAAATATTTGTATTCTCTTAACCCTATTCTGTTTTGAGTAAAAGACTTTGAAAATAAAAAAAAAAGTAATTGAAATTTGTGACAGTTGATAGGTATAACATTTAAAAACAAGATGACTAGTTTATGCTAATTAGTTTTCCTTCTTAAGCAGTACTCTTTTAACAACCTTGACCGTATGGACCGCACCAGCAATGCCTACACCGACGCCTCCAAGTGCAAGACCCAAACTTGCCATGTCAGCGATCGTAGGAGTCACCTCCTCGAGAACTTTTTCCTTGATTTTTTCCATTCTTTATTAGAAGATTTCACAATTAATTAATGTCTTGCTCTGAAAATGGGAAGTAGAATACATACTGATTTTGATTTTGATTCTCCATTTCGATTTATTTGGTCGATATTACAAAGAAAGAGAGAATGTCAATTGAATTAGTTGGTCAATATTACAAAGAAAGAGAGAAAAAACGTTCAATTTATAAACTTTGATAAGTATCGGTTATAGATAGTTTTTTTTCCGTGTTTGTTATAAATAGTTTGTTTTCCGTGTTTTGAAGTTGTGCTTTCTGTGTTCATCATTAAATAGAACAATCTGGGAGTTATTTCCTAATAAATAATTTGTTTTTGTGCACTAGCAACATCAAACTCCGGGACACTATTGTTATGACTATTACTGTTATTATATAATCGTTATATTTATAATCGCAGGTGTATTATAAAAATATGGAGATAAGATAATAATATATGGACCGCCCACAACGAAAACAGGTTCTCGGACTTTTTTTCCTGAGGCGATATATAAAATGACACAAAATGCTTTCAATATAGATATGCCAAAATAATAGAGGGTGGGCGTTCCACTACTATACATTTTAGATTACTTGCCCTAGAAAAAAGCTGGTGCATAGCTTGCAAATGCTATCGGGTACATGCTATATACATGCTATCAAATATGTATGCAACCTATGTCACGCTGTCAAAATAGATTTGCTCACGTTCTAGTTACGTCTTATTTATATCTTTATCGATATACACATCATCGGGAATTGTTATCAAATCGATTTCGCCTATGTTTAAAGACATATTATATCAAAGTATATCGACATACTTTGCCAAATTTTTGTCACTAGTTGGCCCTAGATGTCACTAGTTGTTTGCAGGTACTTGTGACAGAACTTGTGACACCTGTTTGAGAATTTTGAGCTTCTTTATTTATTTCTTGATAAGTTTATATATCTGTCACAAGTTACTTAAGTAAAATAGTAGAATTCTAGGGGAAAAAATTAAAACTCTTTCCTATGGCATACCTTTGCATACCTTTGATATATACCTGATGCATATATATACCCATTACATATACATATATGATATACATACACTCGATACTACCTTTGATATATGCTATATATATGTTACATATACCTACCTTCGATACATACCCGATATATATAGTATACCTACACATAGGAAAAAAAATAAAAAAGGTGGGACTCGACAAATTAACCTAAGAAACTTGTGACACCTGTGACAGTTATCGAGAACAGTTTTTATCAAACTCAGACTCTCAAGAACCCATCTTTCTACCGATTTTTTACTTGAGACGAACTCGTGACAACTTGTCTGTATACTCGTTCGCTATGTATTTTCTCCAAACACTTCTGCCATATTCTCCAGCTTTTTCCGATAATATTGTTCCATTTTTCGGTGTTTTCAACAAATAGTTTGTTTTCCGTGTTTCGAAGTTGTGCTTTCTGTGTTCATCATTAAATAGAACAATCTGGGAGTTATTTCCTAATAAATAATTTGTTTTTGTGC